CTCACAGCGGCTACATTTATTATTATTTTCCGAATAAATAAATATAAAAGTTTGAACTTACTCGTATTTACTTTACCAGACGATACTGTCACTTCACGCATGCTCGGTTTCGCTATTTTGTAAGCAGACGATATTTTTTTTTCGTGGAAAAAATTTTTATTTCGATTGTTATCCCACATTTTATTTCTTGTTAAGATAGTATTTAAATTTAAAAAATGTTTTCACAAATAAAATAAAACGTAAAAACATAAATAATAAAGTAATGCAGCATATACTGTATAAATTTATTACAGTTAGATATGATTTAAAAGTGAAATATTTCATTTTCTATACAAAGATCATTTTTAAACTTATTATTTTATATATTCGAAAAAATGATATAGAATTATCAATGACAACGAATTTAAAACTAGTTCGCTGCACTATAGTCTCTAGCCATCGGCAGAATTCGTGGCTAACCTTGGGCAAGATGGGGTACCCCGTCTTGCCCCAACGTGCACTTTTCATACTGACTGCAAACACAGTTAGATATGATTTAAAAGTGAAATATTTCATTTTCTATAAAAAGATCATTTTTAAACTTATTATTTTATATATTCGAAAAAATGATATAGAATTATCAATGACGACGAATTTAAAACTAGTTCGCTGCACTATATTGCGGTGTCTCTAGCCATCGGCAGAATTCGTGGCTAACCTTGGGCAAGATGGGGTACCCCGTCTTGCCCCAACGTGCACTTTTCATACTGACTGCAAACACGGGTCAACTTTATTTCAAAATTAAACAATATCCGGTCTTAAAGGTTACTTCGAATACCATAATATATTCATCTAAAAGGTAATGTAAAAGTTCGCAATGATGCTTACTTTGTAGAAACTTTGTAGCGGGCGTAAAATTAAATGAAGTATTGCCGAAACGTGGAAAACTGTCTTACTTCCAGAGAGCGATTCGGACGTTCTCTCGTCCTGTAATCCCTTTTGAGGTTGGCATTTGGTTCCCCAAATAACAGCTAGATGAAAGCGCGTTAACCGCGAATAAACAGACTTACCACATGGTCCCATCTTGCACCACCTTCCCCTACTGCTCTGGTAACTATCTCAGGGACGGGTAAGTGCTGAGACTGAACGAACCGTACAGTTGAGCCACTCCACAGGCTGACTGAGGCTTAATAATTCCCGGAAGCCAATCTAGTACGTCAGGCACCACGCTTTGTGTATCCTGTATTTACTATGTTTTCCAACTTGTATACTCCATATATATATGTTGTAAATAAACTGTAAATATTGTCTATCTTGAGTGTGGAGATGTACTTTCAACGAACCCGAATCAAACTATATGGAGTCGTGATAAATTTGGCAAACCAACTCAACGAGACGAAGTTTGGGGAAGAAACTTCACTGGTACCGTCGGAGGCCTTACACATGAAAAAGATTTAAAAAAATATTTTTCTCTAATCCTGTAAGAACAGTAAAAGTATTCTTCATTGTTTTTTAATCTTTCTCTAAGCTTTACTAATTTGATTAAAAAAAAAACAAAAAAATATGAAAAATTTTCGACGAACTCTACGATTGCCTGCTGATTTTCTTCGCCAAGGAAGATTTAAATACTTGAAACTAGTAGCAAATTTCATCTTTTACTCCTGTATATTTATATTTTGATATTATTACTAATGTTTATACAGTATATTGGTTATACACTAAAGTAAAAAAATAACAAATTTATTTTGAGATATAAAGAAATTGAAACTATTATAGCAATATAAATTAATACTTAAAATGCAATCATCATCTAACTATTGTCCATCTTTCCTTCCTTCCTTCCTTAATGGTGTTAGATGAAAATCAAAGGTTTATGTTTTCAAACGTTCTTTTAAGTGGTCATCCAAAGTTTGTGCAAGGCCGACGAGAGGGGAGATGACCACGAAAAATTCCCCGACTCCGGGATCCACGGGGGACTAAATATGAGAAATAGCACGAGGAATTTGGCATGCCAAACTCCTCGTGCTATTTTTCGCGACTTTTTTTTTGATTATCCGGTATAAAGAAATTTACGATATACGATATTTAAAAACATACGTGTGCATCATACTTGTAATAAAGTAAAATAAAAACACATTTATTTAATTTTTCGATAATATATTAAAAATATCAATGTTATTACAATCATAATCCAGTAAGAATTTTAAGAAAATATACAAGTAATTTGAAATCTTTTAGATAATTTAAATTATAAAATATAATACAGATAAGTAAGAATTTAAAATATAAATAATAAAATGAAATTATTGTTTCAGAAATGTTTATTATATTATTTATATAAACAAATAATAGTATCCTGATTCACTGGAGAATCAAGGAAATGCTAAGCACTAAGATAATCCCCCAGAAAATATTTAAATAGTGAATTGTCTTTTTGATCTTGAATAGGATAACTTTTAATTGAGGCAATCGCTCTAATCTTGCAAATCAATTTTAGAATATAGGATATTTTATACCTATTATTATCTAAATTAAATAATATTGGGTTATTACTATTTCGAGTTTAGTTCTAACTACTGATTTCTATATTGGCTACTGAAACTCTTAATGCTAGACAAGTCTAGTAATAAGAGCCTCAGTAGCCAATAAAGCAATTACAAAATAATATCTATCTCTATTTATATTTTAATTATTTAATGTTTATTTAAATTTTCTCTCTCTTTATTTGCATTCTGAGATAACTTTGGAAGTATATAGTAGAACCAACGATATTCCTTTAAATATATTTGTTAAAAAGGACCATCAGATATTGAATTGGATAATATTTAATCAGAAAGTTCTCCCAATCTCTCTCTCTCTCTCTCTATATATATATATATATATATACATATATATTTGTATATAATAGTTTCAAATTAGTCTAATAAATGGCTTTCTTTTTATAGTTTAAATTAACGTTTTTAAATTTAGCAAAAGTAAGTCAACTTGAGTTACATTATTCAAGGTTAAAACTAATTTTTTTCATCAATATTCAAGTTAAGAAAGACATTATTAATCGGCTAAAGAATATGGCCCGGTGGTGGTGAAATCGACTCTGAAATTTTAAACCGAAACCTATCAAAGTATAGAAAAGCAGCAAATTCTATAGGAAAAAGCCTAAATAATGGTTAAGAAATGAGTAAAGAAGTCTATTTGAAAAGAATTATGAATTTTTATTTATTCAAACGTAACCCAATTTACATTCAGACATTTATTTAGTCTCACTACATAGTTTCTTCGAACATCTGCTAACGGTGTAGATGTCATTAATGCACAGGTTGTTTCTGTTCCCTCTTTCATAGCTTAACGTATTTGCCTAACGAGACGAAATAAACGTATGGATTTAAATGGGATTTTTGTTTTAAATAAAAAAAAATCCATAAATTTTATGTTTCAAATTTATTTCTATACCATTATAATTATTATGCCTTTGTGTCTTCTATTTTGATTTAAAATTTATCTTGTATACTAGTACAATATCAATTAATAAGACTTATTATACTGGATTTATGGATGCAGAAACTTTTACTTATAGATCAGAAATAACACTTTTTATTTAATTCACCTGTTTTCTGCGTTCTCCAATTCTGCATAAATCCAGTATAATAAGTCCTGTTAATTGATATTGTACTAGTATACAAGATAAATTTTAAATTTTTTATTTCTATACCAATTTGTTAACCGTTACTTCTATTTTACACGACGCTTTTTATTAAAGCAATGCGAGTTTAAAGATCCGAATAAATTGCAATATTGGAATTCTTTAGCTGAATGGCACCTTTCCTTACTTGAACACCAAACAAATTACTTTTAATTATTGATTGATATATGAGATATTGAGCTGTAACACTTTCTTTACTCATTTCTTAACCATTGGGCCATCCTGTATAAACAATGAACAAAATTCAGAAAAGTTAAATGTTTATTTTTACTTGAATAAACGAACATAAATAGATTAATTCTTGGTTTTGAATATGATATAAGGAGGATATTTTAAATCATATCGCCACGAGTTCAACTAGGCCTTTAATGGCAGCGAATGAGTGTTAAGGGATAGGGCCCAACTTATCAGAGACAATCTCTCCGAAAAATTACTAAGGTTTTTCTGCCTCACGGATTTTATCAGGGTCTTCCAGAGCAGGAATGCTTTAATCGCTCGGACCAACCTTCCATCTGTTATATAACTTAATAATTATTTTACATTTAAATAATTGAAGTTTAGTAATAATACAAAAAAAATAAAATTTTTAAAATATATTTGTTAATACCATAAAAATTAAAATTATATAAAACTATTTAATAAATAAAATTTTGAATTGTTTTAAATATTTATGCCGTTCTTGAATATTTTCAGACATATGGAATAATTTATGTAAGCATTTTAATGAATGACGACATAACACCTGTCGATACCGCCAACACAATAAGGCCGGATCCTTATTTGTGCGTAAAATCGATCGCCTTCTCAAATGACCAATCAAAATGAGATTTGTTATTATATTTGTGATATGATTGGTCGTTAGATATGATTACATAGAAGTCGAAATCTGGCCGAATGTTACGTATATAAAGCCGATAAGAAATTATCAACGGGATACATCGCAATTATGTTCGTATATTTGACAATTTCTCTTTTCATTACTATTACTTCGGCCGTTCCAACAGGTAAGTGAATACATTTTCAATTCGTACAATTGAAACCAATATATTAAATCAAAATCGAGTGAAAAATGATTTTACATTTTCTGCAATTGTTTAGGCCGAGAAGATGTTGTTTATCCATCCGTAGAGACATTAAGATCCGGGATAAAAAGGATCAAATTTAGAGCTATCGATCAGGATATAGATCTCAGATTAATACCGGCCGGTGAATTAATTTCGGACGATTTCGTTATTTACGAAGGAGATCACGAGAGAAGACAACCCACGGTAGATTTTTTTATATAACTCTTAGAGCTATCGATCAGGATATAGATCTCAGATTAATACCGGCCGGTGAATTAATTTCGGACGATTTCGTTATTTACGAAGGAGATCACGAGAGAAGACAACCCACGGTAGATTTTTTTATATAACTCTTATTTTATAAATTCAAATTTTTACCGAAGAATATGGTATAACACGTAGAGTTACGTACATGAGCTATTGTATCTAACCAATCCATTTTATATCTCAAGGAGAAAATTAAAAGCTTGAAGAAGAAGTTGTATAGAGACAGTGAAAAAGGAGCCGCTCTTCATATAGAAGAAGATGGTTTTACATCTATTGTAAGTTTATTTTAGAGTAATGTGAGGGTTTCGCGAAACTCGTCTGACTGCTAAAGTTTTACAGCACGGAATTATAAGTAAGAAGTTGAGAATAGAACCCGAGGAAACAATTACGGAAGGAAGGAGAGCGCATCGTGTTTTCGAAGTGGAAAATATGGAGAGAGGTCGAATTCGAACGAATGACGCCTGTATGTTATCGATGTTTCTTAATAGAAACTGGGTATTTTCTATGAGGCGATTGTAAATGTATATTTCTTTTGCAGTGATGATTCCTCCAGGGGCTATAAGAAATGTAACTGAAGCTGAAAAAAGATCAGGCATTTGCATCGTAGTAGAAATTGTAATTGTTTCAGAAAAAACTTTCACACATAGTTTCGGTGGAAAATATGATGAGACTGCAGAATATTATCATCTCCGTTATTTATATGTAACTATTACTCAGGTAAATGAGAAAAATGATTACGTTGTAGGAAAATTTTGATAAATTTCTTTGGAAATATCACACATTTAACAATTACAATATTAAACTTTTCTTGTGTAGGTGCAAAATTTAATGGACACTATGAAATTGACGTTAAAAGTACTTCTAATTGGAGTTATAACATATGACGTAAATATCATTAATAAGTCATATCTACTAATTTATAGAAAGTTTATGCAGATCGTGTCTGATATATTTACAGAATACCAATGAAGCGTCTTTTATCCAGAAGAGTGCTATTAAAATATGTCCTAATTATCTCGACTCAGGAGACTTAATAGAAAATATGGCTGAGTACTATAAAAATGCAAAAATTCCGTTGATCGATGAAGCTGATGGAGTTATGCTTGTAACACTGTAAGTGTACTGACTTAATATTTAAAGTTTCTTACCGTACTGTACAATCAGTAGGGTGAGGCAGTCGCCTCAGGCGGCAATTTCGGATTATATATTGAAATTTTTATTCATTACAATGTACAGNTGTTACACATTTTAGAAGTCAACCACTTTGAACCCCATATCTGCCACACCCTTATAGCTATCGAGACACAACCAACATAGTGCACGATGGGAGACATGAGGCTACTACCGCACACAAACACCATTCATGTGCGATGTGTAGTTTCGGCTGCAGAGTGAAATATAGGCACACACACGTCCATATATATATATATATATATAGGTATATATAGATACAGATATAGATTATATAATAGCAATCTTATCGTTTTTCTCACATATAGTATAGAAATCTGTAATAAGTTACATAATGCGATTATAATAAAATATTCATTTTAATTAATCCAAAATACGTTAAAATATGAAAATAATCGCACAAAATGTATTTATTTTTTTAGAAAATCTAAGAGAAACGGCGCTTCCACCGCTTCCAATGACGACACGCCACTGAGCATAGGGGAAGGTGGGGCAGGATGAAAAGTTATAAGATGGCAACCACTTTAATGAGAACAATAATTCTTTTATTTTCGGCAACTACAACATTTGGTAATTTATTGATATAATGCCAAATTTAATTTTTGAAAAACGTTTTTAAAAACAAGAAAATTTAATATTTTAAAATTATACGTAAGCCTAAATGCACCATCTTGCCCCACCCGTGGGGTAAGATGGGATTATTTTTATATACAAGAAAAACAAATTAAGATGGTTAAACTGTCGTTTTCTTTAATATTGGCACAAGAACAACGTGCCCATTTATCACAACGGCTACATTTATTATTATTTTCCGAATAAATAAATATAAAAGTTTGAACTTACTCGTATTTACTTTACCAGACGATAGTCACTTCGCGCATACTCAGTTTCGCTATTTTGTAAGCAGACGATATTTTTTTCCATGGAAAAAATTTTTATTTCGATTGTTATCTCGCATTTTATTTCTCGTTAAGATAGTATTTAAATTAAAAAAATGTTTTCACAAATAAAATAAAACGTAAAAACATAAATAATAAAATAATACAGTATATACTGTATAAATTTATTACAGTTAGATATGATTTAAAAGTGAAATATTTCATTTTCTATAAAAAGATCATTTTTAAACTTATTATTTTATATATTCGAAAAAATGATATAGAATTATCAATGACGACGAATTTAAAACTAGTTCGCTGCACTATATTGCGGTGTCTCTAGCCATCGGCAGAATTCGTGGCTAACCTTGGGCAAGATGGGGTACCCCGTCTTGCCCCAACGTGCACTTTTCATACTGACTGCAAACACGGGTCAACTTTATTTCAAAATTAAACAATATCCGGTCTTAAAGGTTACTTCGAATACCATAATATATTCATCTAAAAGGTAATGTAAAAGTTCGCAATGATGCTTACTTTGTAGAAACTTTGTAGCGGGCGTAAAATTAAATGAAGTATTGCCGAAACGTGGAAAACTGTCTTACTTCCAGAGAGCGATTCGGACGTTCTCTCGTCCTGTAATCCCTTTTGAGGTTGGCATTTAGTTCCCCAAATAACAGCTAGATGAAAGCGCGTTAACCGCGAATAAACAGACTTACCACATGGTCCCATCTTGCACCACCTTCCCCTACTGCTCTGGTAACTATCTCAGGGACGGGTAAGTGCTGAGACTGAACGAACCGTACAGTTGAGCCACTCCACAGGCTGACTGAGGCTTAATAATTCCCGGAAGCCAATCTAGTACGTCAGGCACCACGCTTTGTGTATCCTGTATTTACTATGTTTTCCAACTTGTATACTCCATATATATATGTTGTAAATAAACTGTAAATATTGTCTATCTTGAGTGTGGAGATGTACTTTCAACGAACCCGAATCAAACTATATGGAGTCGTGATAAATTTGGCAAACCAACTCAACGAGACGAAGTTTGGGGAAGAAACTTCACTGGTACCGTCGGAGGCCTTACACATGAAAAAGATTTAAAAGAAATATTTTTCTCTAATCCTGTAAGAACAGTAAAAGTATTCTTCATTGTTTTTTAATCTTTCTCTAAGCTTTACTAATTTGATTAAAAAAAAAACAAAAAAATATGAAAAATTTTCGACGAACTCTACGATTGCCTGCTGATTTTCTTCGCCAAGGAAGATTTAAATACTTGAAACTAGTAGCAAATTTCATCTTTTACTCCTGTATATTTATATTTTGATATTATTACTAATGTTTATACAGTATATTGGTTATACACTAAAGTAAAAAAATAACAAATTTATTTTGAGATATAAAGAAATTGAAACTATTATAGCAATATAAATTAATACTTAAAATGCAATCATCATCTAACTATTGTCCATCTTTCCTTCCTTCCTTCCTTAATGGTGTTAGATGAAAATCAAAGGTTTATGTTTTCAAACGTTCTTTTAAGTGGTCATCCAAAGTTTGTGCAAGGCCGACGAGAGGGGAGATGATCACGAAAAATTCCCCGACTCCGGGATCCACGGGGGACTAAATATGAGAAATAGCACGAGGAATTTGGCATGCCAAACTCCTCGTGCTATTTTTCGCGACTTTTTTTTTGATTATCCGGTATAAAGAAATTTACGATATACGATATTTAAAAACATACGTGTGCATCATACTTGTAATAAAGTAAAATAAAAACACATTTATTTAATTTTTCGATAATATATTAAAAATATCAATGTTATTACAATCATAATCCAGTAAGAATTTTAAGAAAATATACAAGTAATTTGAAATCTTTTAGATAATTTAAATTATAAAATATAATACAGATAAGTAAGAATTTAAAATATAAATAATAAAATGAAATTATTGTTTCAGAAATGTTTATTATATTATTTATATAAACAAATAATAGTATCCTGATTCACTGGAGAATCAAGGAAATGCTAAGCACTAAGATAATCCCCCAGAAAATATTTAAATAGTGAATTGTCTTTTTGATCTTGAATAGGATAACTTTTAATTGAGGCAATCGCTCTAATCTTGCAAATCAATTTTAGAATATAGGATATTTTATACCTATTATTATCTAAATTAAATAATATTGGGTTATTACTATTTCGAGTTTAGTTCTAACTACTGATTTCTATATTGGCTACTGAAACTCTTATTGCTAGACAAGTCTAGTAATAAGAGCCTCAGTAGCCAATAAAGCAATTACAAAATAATATCTATCTCTATTTATATTTTAATTATTTAATGTTTATTTAAATTTTCTCTCTCTTTATTTGCATTCTGAGATAACTTTGGAAGTATATAGTAGAACCAACGATATTCCTTTAAATATATTTGTTAAAAAGGACCATCAGATATTGAATTGGATAATATTTAATCAGAAAGTTCTCCCAATCTCTCTCTCTCTCTCTCTATATATATATATATATATATACATATATATTTGTATATAATAGTTTCAAATTAGTCTAATAAATGGCTTTCTTTTTATAGTTTAAATTAACGTTTTTAAATTTAGCAAAAGTAAGTCAACTTGAGTTACATTATTCAAGGTTAAAACTAATTTTTTTCATCAATATTCAAGTTAAGAAAGACATTATTAATCGGCTAAAGAATATGGCCCGGTGGTGGTGAAATCGACTCTGAAATTTTAAACCGAAACCTATCAAAGTATAGAAAAGCAGCAAATTCTATAGGAAAAAGCCTAAATAATGGTTAAGAAATGAGTAAAGAAGTCTATTTGAAAAGAATTATGAATTTTTATTTATTCAAACGTAACCCAATTTACATTCAGACATTTATTTAGTCTCACTACATAGTTTCTTCGAACATCTGCTAACGGTGTAGATGTCATTAATGCACAGGTTGTTTCTGTTCCCTCTTTCATAGCTTAACGTATTTGCCTAACGAGACGAAATAAACGTATGGATTTAAATGGGATTTTTGTTTTAAATAAAAAAAAATCCATAAATTTTATGTTTCAAATTTATTTCTATACCATTATAATTATTATGCCTTTGTGTCTTCTATTTTGATTTAAAATTTATCTTGTATACTAGTACAATATCAATTAATAAGACTTATTATACTGGATTTATGGATGCAGAAACTTTTACTTATAGATCAGAAATAACACTTTTTATTTAATTCACCTGTTTTCTGCGTTCTCCAATTCTGCATAAATCCAGTATAATAAGTCCTGTTAATTGATATTGTACTAGTATACAAGATAAATTTTAAATTTTTTATTTCTATACCAATTTGTTAACCGTTACTTCTATTTTACACGACGCTTTTTATTAAAGCAATGCGAGTTTAAAGATCCGAATAAATTGCAATATTGGAATTCTTTAGCTGAATGGCACCTTTCCTTACTTGAACACCAAACAAATTACTTTTAATTATTGATTGATATATGAGATATTGAGCTGTAACACTTTCTTTACTCATTTCTTAACCATTGGGCCATCCTGTATAAACAATGAACAAAATTCAGAAAAGTTAAATGTTTATTTTTACTTGAATAAACGAACATAAATAGATTAATTCTTGGTTTTGAATATGATATAAGGAGGATATTTTAAATCATATCGCCACGAGTTCAACTAGGCCTTTAATGGCAGCGAATGAGTGTTAAGGGATAGGGCCCAACTTATCAGAGACAATCTCTCCGAAAAATTACTAAGGTTTTTCTGCCTCACGGATTTTATCAGGGTCTTCCAGAGCAGGAATGCTTTAATCGCTCGGACCAACCTTCCATCTGTTATATAACTTAATAATTATTTTACATTTAAATAATTGAAGTTTAGTAATAATACAAAAAAAATAAAATTTTTAAAATATATTTGTTAATACCATAAAAATTAAAATTATATAAAACTATTTAATAAATAAAATTTTGAATTGTTTTAAATATTTATGCCGTTCTTGAATATTTTCAGACATATGGAATAATTTATGTAAGCATTTTAATGAATGACGACATAACACCTGTCGATACCGCCAACACAATAAGGCCGGATCCTTATTTGTGCGTAAAATCGATCGCCTTCTCAAATGACCAATCAAAATGAGATTTGTTATTATATTTGTGATATGATTGGTCGTTAGATATGATTACATAGAAGTCGAAATCTGGCCGAATGTTACGTATATAAAGCCGATAAGAAATTATCAACGGGATACATCGCAATTATGTTCGTATATTTGACAATTTCTCTTTTCATTACTATTACTTCGGCCGTTCCAACAGGTAAGTGAATACATTTTCAATTCGTACAATTGAAACCAATATATTAAATCAAAATCGAGTGAAAAATGATTTTACATTTTCTGCAATTGTTTAGGCCGAGAAGATGTTGTTTATCCATCCGTAGAGACATTAAGATCCGGGATAAAAAGGATCAAATTTAGAGCTATCGATCAGGATATAGATCTCAGATTAATACCGGCCGGTGAATTAATTTCGGACGATTTCGTTATTTACGAAGGAGATCACGAGAGAAGACAACCCACGGTAGATTTTTTTATATAACTCTTATTTTATAAATTCAAATTTTTACCGAAGAATATGGTATAACACGTAGAGTTACGTACATGAGCTATTGTATCTAACCAATCCATTTTATATCTCAAGGAGAAAATTAAAAGCTTGAAGAAGAAGTTGTATAGAGACAGTGAAAAAGGAGCCGCTCTTCATATAGAAGAAGATGGTTTTACATCTATTGTAAGTTTATTTTAGAGTAATGTGAGGGTTTCGCGAAACTCGTCTGACTGCTAAAGTTTTACAGCACGGAATTATAAGTAAGAAGTTGAGAATAGAACCCGAGGAAACAATTACGGAAGGAAGGAGAGCGCATCGTGTTTTCGAAGTGGAAAATATGGAGAGAGGTCGAATTCGAACGAATGACGCCTGTATGTTATCGATGTTTCTTAATAGAAACTGGGTATTTTCTATGAGGCGATTGTAAATGTATATTTCTTTTGCAGTGATGATTCCTCCAGGGGCTATAAGAAATGTAACTGAAGCTGAAAAAAGATCAGGCATTTGCATCGTAGTAGAAATTGTAATTGTTTCAGAAAAAACTTTCACACATAGTTTCGGTGGAAAATATGATGAGACTGCAGAATATTATCATCTCCGTTATTTATATGTAACTATTACTCAGGTAAATGAGAAAAATGATTACGTTGTAGGAAAATTTTGATAAATTTCTTTGGAAATATCACACATTTAACAATTACAATATTAAACTTTTCTTGTGTAGGTGCAAAATTTAATGGACACTATGAAATTGACGTTAAAAGTACTTCTAATTGGAGTTATAACATATGACGTAAATATCATTAATAAGTCATATCTACTAATTTATAGAAAGTTTATGCAGATCGTGTCTGATATATTTACAGAATACCAATGAAGCGTCTTTTATCCAGAAGAGTGCTATTAAAATATGTCCTAATTATCTCGACTCAGGAGACTTAATAGAAAATATGGCTGAGTACTATAAAAATGCAAAAATTCCGTTGATCGATGAAGCTGATGGAGTTATGCTTGTAACACTGTAAGTGTACTGACTTAATATTTAAAGTTTCTTACCGTACTGTACAATCAGTAGGGTGAGGCAGTCGCCTCAGGCGGCAATTTCGGATTATATATTGAAATTTTTATTCATTACAATGTACAGTACAACTAAGTAAATAATTTGTTTAGTTGGTTTCCTTGATAATTTTTCCATGAAAATGCGCCAATTGGCTCTCTATTGTTTTCATTTTGCGCCGCACCGGGGTGCAATGGCGCTGATATTTTTCAGGAAATTAGACAGGAAAGAATTTTTTCTAGTTCTCAATTGTATTCTGTTGTTTCTCTAGAATCGCTATTAGCTAGAATCTTAGCAAATGTTAGCATTCTATAAAATATTTGCACAAAGCAACTGTAGTAAAAAATATTATCAAAATTTGACCCTGTTACAAGTCAATATTTAAGAATCTTCGCATTAGCTAAGTAAAGATATTAAAAAAAAAAAAAAATGAACCATAGTTGTCTAATGAGACAAAAGATTCGAAAGACTATTGTTGTTGTTATTATTAATGATTGTGAATATTGTAGTATACATTTTAGAGACTGTACCCGATATCAACAGAATCAAGCGAATGTCTTAGGTTATTCCAGCAAATCTCTGAACATTTATCCTAAGCTGGTATTTATTAGACTATTAGCTGATAAAGATTCTGAAGTTATTTATAAAAAAAAGAAAAAACTGTTAGAACTTAATTAACTGTATAAAATTTAATGAAATAAAACAAATGTCCACTGAACTTCAACCCCTTTCCTACCCCTTGTACGACTTTGTCCGACTTGTCAATCCCCCTCTCAGGTCCGTGCGATAGATTTTCTCAGTATGATGCAAGTCTCCGAATTGTCACCCCTTACGGTGCCACCTGATGCAGCAGTCTCTCTGTATCATAGCACGGCACTGTCCTGCTCCTTCCCTTCCAGTGTGCACGTCATTGACGAATAACCCCTTATCAGCAACTGCGAAAAAAGACGGCAATTTTTGGCTCGCCGGCCCTGTGTACAATAACTATTTATTTATTTTCTAGGAGACCAATGGCTGACGTTTATAAGAGAAAGTGCGATTTGGGCACAATTGGTAATTTAAAACAATGTTTCCTTCAAAATCTTTATTCATATAACATCTCTGTTGATTTATTAAAAAATATTCCATACAGGAATAGCTTATGTAGGTTCAGTTTGTGATAATGGATACAAATATGGCATTTCAGAAGACGATGAAGGCAATTTCTACGAATATTGTCATACTTTTGCTCACGAATTGGCTCATATGTAAGTATTGATATTTCCAAACTATTAAGAATTTTAAGAAGTGATTTAAAAGAAAATGTTTCTGTAGGATCGCATGTCCCCACGATGAAGATTCTCCCGTTTCGTACATTCCTGGTAATCCGGGAACAGTAGAATGTAAATGGAAATACGGATATATTATGAGTTATGAAACAAACGAACAAAATGGAACCAAATTTTCTCCGTGTTCGAGAGCATGTGTACAACAATTCGTCAGGTAATTATAAAGCATTTGAAATAAAATCATTATGAATTGAAAAACATGTTTTTATAATAACAACTCTGTAATTAACAGTTTGTCAATGGCATCTTGTATTGTAGAAGAGTGCTAAGTAAATCTTTGTTGCAGTTATTTTGAGAAAATTTGGCCAGATAATATTATTTTTCTTTAACGATTACTTCAAAGAAATGTGAAATTGAGTTAAATAAAATTTATTAAACGTAAATAATTTTGTGGTTAATTATTTGTATTTTTATTAGCGTTTCACATATGTGAAATATGTTAATTTTTGATTTTTTTTTAAACATAATACACATCAAAAATTTTAAATTCTATATATATGCAGCTTAAATTAAATAAATTTGATTAAAATCTTTTTAAAAATTAATATGACTACTACAAAATTAGATTAATTAATTAAAGCAATTCAATTACATTTGTAACACAATAGAAAAAAGTGTTTGATAATGTATAAATGAATTTTAGAGTAGTTCTAAGTAAGTAAGCGAACCAATGACTTGATCTGTTTTATACGAAATGGGATACGTTATTCTTCTTTTTACGTATTTAATTGCTACTTAGAAACATCCATAATTATTGCAAGATGTAATATAATTTCGACTGGCAGGCAGCATAAACACGTTAATAATTATATTATATTATAATGATAGATAAATATGCAACATTAATTTATATTTTAAATCATCTTCCTTCTAATAAATTAATATTATACAGTCAAAGTTCAATATAACGCTATCTAGGTAGAGTGCTAATTAATGATGAGTGATATTTCACCATTAAATGACAGCCGTGACTCGTGATTGAGTTAGTTTAGAAAGTGTGATCACTACATTGTTGATTACGCTATTAACAATAAATGACCTATCTTTTTGTTTACCTGTGAAAATCGATCAGACGATTAACATTTATTAATTCATTAAATCCGCGCTGATTATGTGTAATTTCAGGACAATTTAGCTTTAGTTCAACATGTTCAAATTTCAAACTAAATTAAAAGTCCAATTCGTACTTAATTATATTGTAGAGAAATACACGAAAAATCAATTCTTCTTTTCTTTCTGATTTACGGAAGTTAAATAACTTCAAAAATTCTAAAACATAATATCAATAATGAAATAAAAATCAAAGTTAAAAGGGTAAAAGCAAACCCACTTTGCAGAGAAAACACTTTATTACATTGTTAAGTCCCCTAAATGCATTACGCCAAAAATATTAGGCCTCCTCAGTAGGGTTTTCAGCATATAGTTCAAACTCCGACAATATTCCTTAATGAGTTTCCATTCTATTCTTCTATCCGGGTTTATATGGAGACTCTAGTACAGTTATTAATACAACAATGATGAAAGATAGGAGAATTATTAATTTTTAGTCTTACATCTGCTAAATGTTCCAACAATCTAGTCTTGAATTTTCTCTTTGTTTCACCAATATAGAAACTTGGAATATTACATGTGCATTCGAGTCTGTAGCCTTTTTCTTCTAATGGGTCCTTTTTAATACTTTATATAACCATTAGATCGGATAACCTATTATATTGAGTTGGAGCCAGTTTAATTAAATTTTGATTAAGAATTTTATTATATTTTACATATATGCCTTTCATATATCTAATATGTAGATTTCCTCTAATTTCGGTCCAATTAATGAACGCATGGAAATGCCATCAGTTTTCTTTTACTGTAAAATAATTATTAGCCAATGCAAAATTAATTAAATCTTTTAAATAATTGGAAACTCCATACTTATATAGACTCTGTGTAATCATATCATTATTGATAGAAGGGCACATTGATGTAATATCCAAGCTCATTAACTTATATTCAGGCAAAATGTCTTCTTTTTTTAATTTTGATATTTAAATCGTCTGCATTTTTTTACTATGTATTTTGAATTTGGAATAACCTGTAAAGACTTTTTAATAAATACTTCTAAATTATATAATAACGTAAACTTAACATCAATAATTGGTCGGTACTTATTCTGTTTATGTGTTTTAATTCTAATGTTTAATTTAGGAATCCTTACGTTTTCCTTAAGAAGTATTTCTTTACTTTGATGTATCGAGATGTAGCCTTCATTTACTAATTTCTTCAATTTTTTAGATAGCATTCTTGTATTTCGATAAACGGATCTCTTAAAAGTTTTTCAAAATGTCTCTGTGATATAATCTCCTGTCTTCTAAATCTTGTAAGTTTATTATTACTATTTGATGTGATTTGTCTGCTTTTATTAAGCAAAGGTTATATTTTTTAAAGAATTTTTTAATTCTATTCTATTTGCCTATGTCGTATCTTGCTTTATAGTCAATAATACTGTATAACCTTTCTTGGCATATTTATAAATTGTTTTAAATAACTATTTTAAATAAAAAGTGTTAAAATTCTCATCATTTAGAAANTTAAAATAATTACAAATTTAGCAATCTTTGATTATATAATTAAATTACTGTGGTTTATTAAATATATATTTAAAAATTCTATTTAATTTATGTCACGAAAGTATGACTGGTGACTTCATTAATTTTAACGATTTATCTTATGTTAAGTAGTAAATGAGAAAGTAGAAAGAATTTGGTAAAAATTTTATTAGAATGATAAAATCGTACATAATGAATGATAAAGTTTAAACAGATTTTGAATTTTAGAATAAATTTATTGCAGAAAATAGAAAGCAGTAGACCAAAAATACCTAGAAAGAGATTGAAAGATCAGATTAAAGATAAAATAGATAAAGACTAGAAGATGATCTACGAAGTAAGATTTGGGAAGACAAAAAGATAGAAGATTTGACTACTTTGATCCAGTAAAGTATTGGAACAGATTTTTTATTACTTACGGTTGATCATCGTCACTTTATATTAATTTAGAAAATAATTTTTAAGTTAAGAAAAGGTTAGTTACTTAAACCTATTTGCTTTGTTATATTCTCCGAGTTTCAAGCAAAGCATATACTGTATATGGTAAGCGGCGAAACTCTATTGTTAAATTCGTCGCTTGATGATATCAGTTCCCTCTGGTAACAGTTGTGTAGACTCGCTCATTGCCAGGTTATACCATGTGTTCGTGCTATAACCTGGTTATGCTACAGGTTATACCAATGTATCTAGTAATGGTCTGTACAGACCATTATTAGTTACATTGAAAACGAACTTTTTTACACAAGAAGTTTGTATTTCACCAATATGATGTTTTATCTCTATTTATTGTATGTTTGCAAGCTCTATTTTACCTATATATTCAACTGGAAACCGATTAAATCCATATCCCAAGAAAGAAGAAAGGATTTTGATCATACAGCAATTTCATTTGATTGTTGTAGGCCTATATATATATTTAGTTAAATTACAATTTATCGTAATGTTGTTAAAATTTGGATTACGAAGATATAAGGAAGTATTCTTGAACATTTTCGTACATATAATTAGACCAAACACGTCTCTACAGTTAATTTAGTTGTTTAAGTAAATTATTTAGTTATACTGTTTACTGGTATTTATAATTATAAATATCAAAAGCTAAAGTAATATCAATATTAAAAATTTATAATAGTTCCTCAATTTTTCAAGAATTATGTAGAGAATGCGGTAAATACACAAATTATAAGTAAAAATAACGAGAAAAATTGTGTATAAAATAACGGAAAATATATTAGTTGATTGTTCCTAAATAAGGTAATTTTTTTATCTGTATATCAAATTATCATCTTAATTAATTTGCTAGAAATATATTATATATAGATATAAAATTATATTAATAAATATGTTATGTAAATTATAAACATGTATTTATTTTTGTTGTATGTTTCTTATAGATTTTAACTCATACATTGAAATATTGAAAGACCTGGGGAAGGTAATATGATAACGGTTAGATCGATGTAAACTTTCTCACGCGATAGGTTTAATATAGGATTATTAAGTTTAGGTTTAATTTAGTTTGTAGTGACTTAGGTATAAGTACGATTTGTTAGTCATTCATTTGTATACTTTTTATATTTTTGATTTATTAAATGTTTTAGTTTATTTTATAAATATGGTCTGGTTAATGTTCATACTTATACTTATTCAGGCTATTTGCGTTCCTCGTACTCGAAACTCCGAGATAACGCGTGTTAATCCGCGTGTAATAAAACTGATTAACTGGTGTCAAAATCCTGACGTGGATCTAAATCTCAAAATTTGGATCTCTTTTAAACGCCCTTAAGGCCATCCTTTGACTAAAGACCGGATCTCTCGATCCGTGAACTACAGAGAACAGATCTCATCGATCTGTGCTGTTTAAGTGGTACTGTACATCAATTCTAAGGATCTGTACCCCCGGCTAACTCACACATACATTAGTAATCAATTAGAATTTTTTTAATACTTGACAAAATATCATCAAAATTGCTCAGCAGACCCAAACTTTAATGCCCTGGAAGCGTAGAAACATTTATTGGGGTAGAATACGCTTAGATCAGGGATGCCTATCATACAAAACACTTTTCTCAAATAGATAATAGAGAGAGATCTGAACAAACGATAATGATTCTGAATGTTACGGCAGTTTCTCACACTTATTTGTGCTTAAATGATACAATATATAAATTAGGGGAAAACGGAAGAAGTAGAAAAGAGTACATACATCCTGTATGATAAGTCCTACATTTGTCGAATTGTGAGATTTAGGAAGTACAACAATTGAATGGGACAAGAAGCTTTGAGCACTTATAAGCAAGGAGGAGTCTCCCCCATTCGCGAAAAGAAAAAAAAGTGTTAGCACTGGTTTTCATGATAAATCCGGAAAGTATATAGTTAAACTTTCTGTAAAAACAGAGGCTGCCGAATTTGGAGATTTTTTTCATGAAACAAATAAAAGATTTAACCATTTAGAGCGAAAAATTAACGACAAACCCACTATTGAAAAAAAAACCAATACGATTTTTAAAATAATATCTCGCGTTAAATCACACTGAAATAGCAAATGACCGGAAGAATTTATCAAATGGTTCAAAGGTAATCCATTATCTATCTCATCGTTGTGTATTAATCATATTCTTTCCTAGAACAATAATTGTGCCAATGTTGATTAGTCTACATATGCGAAAGAAAATAACCCTGTGTTCATTATGAAGTAGAACATAATACACACAGCATAGGGGAGACCGGGGCAATATCGGCATGTTAAGCTTTACTTAAATTTTGTGTAATAAATACTGCTGTAAACTGAA